CGTGCAAATGTAGCGCGGGAGGCGCAACGATTATACACTTGTGCATTCGTTAAGCCCACTTTATTTAATGATTTCGTGGTCGAATATAGTTACTGAATAACCGCCTACCTACTCGTGATTCCCAACGCTCGTAATAAAGACGATAAATGCATCTGCGCGCGCAAACGATTCCATTCTACCACTTACAACGTTTGTTATCTCCTTCTCTCCACCTTCCCCCACCCTTCTCCATCCCTCTTTCCTTCTCGACCTATTTCGTTCCACGGATCACACGCTTTTCCACGTGAAAAAGAAGAAAAAAAAACTAACGAATTCGAAGAAGATTTTTTTCACATTTTTGCAACTTCCAATTTTCGACTTTCGTTTCATATTTTTAAACGCGTTTCTCGAGATCTCACGGATCGTCGATGAACGGAACGACGTTAAAACGATCGTTAAATCGAATCGAGTAGATTCGATTCACGAAACTACGTACATCCCAAATTCCCCTCCCTCCTTGCTTCGCTTTTTTCCCTCTTTTCTTTTGTTCCATCTACCATCTTTTTTCTTTTTTTTTTTTTTTTTTACGCTGCTCGACACGCATTATTATCACGCTACTAAACGAGTTTTAGCACGCTAACGAGCTCCAGCCACGACGAACCCACTTTCGATAAACACCGAACACGATTTCTCCCAAGATCGATAACCGCTTAACGATGACTGACCGACCAGAAACTCGAGAAACTCGAGAAAAGTGATCGATTCGAATCTAAACGAGAAGTTTGAATCTTGCCATGAAAAATGGTGGAAACGAGTAAGCACGGGGAACAAGAGTTACACGAGTTACAAGAGTATATCTCACGTAAGTATTATGTTTAAACTTTATAATTAATTTTCATTTTACTTGCCAATTTTACCTTTTTGTTGGCTGTTAGCGTTATGATAAAATCGAATGGGGAAAAATTCAATGGGGAACAAGATTGAAAAGATAAAAAATTTTTTCCACGAAATATCCGATTGTGATCCGTTGTATCCGTTGTATCATCGATTAACGGAACGGTAAAGGGAAGAGAAAAATGGAGGAGGAGGGTGCGATGATAGAAAGGAAAGGATAGATAGGAGGTGTGAACGGTGAAAACATTAGCATGCGATGGATATTTTGCATTGTTCGTAGGAACGGGTTCACGCGCATTGATCTTTGGGAATTGGAAAACACGATGCTTGGTAAGAAAAGTTGTACACGATGCGGTGGAGAGTGGATGAAATACGAGATGCGAGAAAATAGCGACCACCAGGCAGACTTAAATATATACGTATACACGTACTGTATATGTAGACGCGCGCGCGCGCGCGCACACACACACATTTACGGTCACACGATACGTTCTTTCGGTTGAAAAGTTTCCCTTTTATGTATTTCCCTGATGCTGATATCGTTCCACTCTCGTCACTTTTCACTCTTTCCGTTTCAGTTTTGCCAGCTGCAGCGCCAAGTCCACTTTTCGGGGAGTGTCCGCGTAATCCGAGAAGCAAAACGAAAATCGACGCTATACTGTGTTCTCGGTAACGAACGGTTTGGAATAAAGACATCCTTTCGTTGACAAAGTTTTGTCAACGAAAAACCCAATTTATTTCGATCTTTTCTATTTTAACTTCCTATTTTTCTTCGTCGATCGACGCGACGCGAGAGAGAAAAAAATATTCGAACGTGTTAAGTAAAATTTTTTTAACTAGAGAATATTTATCGACGATTGTAAAATTAACGCGATTAATACTCGTGGTTGAGAACTACGGTCGGTTGATGGTGACAATGGTATTGTCGCTGTTACTGGCGATCGTTTAATTAAAATGTCCCGACGAACTTATATGGTGGTAACGGTGTTATTACGGTGCCAAAACGCATCGTACGAGTGTTCGATTTATTGATCGATAAAAATACACGTGCGATTAAACTGTATTCTGTATCAATTTATCGAGTAACGACTATGTTTCTATGTCGCGGTGTAAACAGTAGGTATTACGAAAAAGCTGCAAAATGAAAAAGGTGAATACGCGATCAACGGCAATGATTTTATGGATTTCGCTGCATTCTCTATTTTATCTCTTTTTGATACGAATCCTCGATACAACGCCACCAGACACGCTGTTTTTCATTTAAATATCTTTATCGATAATCGAAATTAAATATGATAAATATAGTAATGATAAATATAGTATGATTATAGTAGATAAATATAGTATGTATTTATATGCTATGCAAGTGTATATCTTCTATCCACATTCGTGTCCTCGATTATAGAGAATTAAAGAAATCCTTTTATAATTTTATTTTTAATATCTCTAGCAGACAGCTAAAGGGAAAGAGAAGGTCGTTAACCGATAATCGTAAAATTTCTCGTTGTGGTTAGATAAAATCGAACGATATATCGCACGGACAGTAGAGAAAAAGAGGAAGGAAGAAAAAGAGATCGAAAAGAAAAGGCCTAGGAACGCACATGAAATGTACATACCAAGCGAACATGTAACGAACGAACGAACGAACGAAAGCAAGAAGTGAGAAGAGAGTGGGGGGTTCGACGGTAGGGTGAAGAAAGGGAAAAGGGGGAAAACAACGGTGACGAGCAAGAGAAGTAGGTATAGTAGGTACGAGAAACTGGCGAGATTCCGACTTTATTGGCGCAAATGGCAATTATCTCGAGTACGAGGAAAAAAAAAAAATTTTAATATTTCCAACCGTTCCCAGTTATCGAGTAATTTTTGCGATTTCATCTTCTCCTCTTCTCTTCGATGCATTATAACGAATACGTTTCATCCATGCAATCGTATCGTTACAAAACCAACAAATTAAATTGGAAATCTTACGAGTATCGTGACACCATTTTACCGCAAGATCTACGTTCTCTCGTAAACGTGATTCCTCTATTCTTCTCTCCACCAAAACACCGATTACTTTATCTTGAAAACCCCGAGCAAATAAACTCTCGTAATTGCTTCGTACCGTATGAGATGATCTCATAAAGAGAATATAAATCGTACTTTGAATATTAATCGAGTTAGTTCGCAAATGCGTTCGAATCAACGAAAGAAAAAAACTCTTGCAAAATTGAAAAAACGAGAAACAACGTATTTTTTATTTTATATAAATTTTAAATTAAATTAGAGAATTGCGTTTCATCCATTTTTCATTTTCGATTATGTCGAGAAAGGTTAAGTGAAATTTATAAATATCTCCAGATATCGAAAGAAAAAAACAACGTCCTTTTCTCCCTTTTACGCCATCCATCAGAAAGGCTATTTTCGTCTATGATAATAATCCATCTACTCTTCCGACCAAGCAAAGCAGAGAGAAGCGTGTTGCATCATGTCGCACGATATGCATTTAAATTAAGCTCCGATATTAAAGCGCGACACGCAGGTTTCCTTCGCTAATTAAATCTATGTATACGTATAGATACGTTAGAGAGTTCAGAGAGTGCAACTTAAGTTCCTGCTTTGTCGAGCAAAGGCGACGCGTGTTTAACGATAGGTAAAGTGGTAGCGATGTTATCAATACTTCATCATTGATCAAAGAATAAAAAGCTCGTTATGTCTAGAAAAAAATTTATATCGTATCGTGTCCCGTCGATGAATATGCCAAAGAAACAAATGCACTCCCGTGTGTCTTATTCGTTTTCTCAAACATTTTTATTTCTTAACATTTTTATCTTAACGCTTAACGTTCAGTTTCATCTTTTACTTTTTTCATCAATTCGTGCAAAATCGAAAACGCACAGTAATTTTTGTGACACTGCGAACCATTCCCCAGTCGTTATTTCACGCTTACCGATTTAAACGGATCCTCTTTGTCACTTCGACGCAAACACAATCGCATCAATTGTAACTTATATTCTATTCTGATGAAATTCACGCATAATCATTCGCGTATAATTCATTTAATCGCGCTCAAATCTTTTATTCTATTTTTATTATTTATCGCATAAGAAACAATTTTTTATTTCTTTTATCAACATCGTTTACCATTTTATTCTTCAGTAAATTTCTCTTTGAATGATTTTCCAATTAAAGAAAATTTTTTTCGTATCGAAATGCTTCTAACTTAGACCATTCGATATTCTGCGTAACAGAAAGGAACGAAAGATCCAAAGGACAAAAGAAAGAAGAGAAGGAATACGCCATCCCCTAGATCGCATCGTGAATGCTAAAATTAAACGAAACATGTACAAATGTGTAGTACAACAGGGCCAGTTTTTTCGATAACCGACCAACGTTGATAAACGCATACTTCGGACCACTATGTTTCGTAGAAATTTCTTTATCGTCGTATTTCGTTATATTTATCTAACGCGAATGTGTTAAGAAATTCAAATGTCTCTATTCGTACATTTCGTCCAAGGATTTACAATTGATCATAATTTAGAAAAATGACAAAGCTGTTAGACAAAGAGTATAGAATACTAGTTTTATAAATTTTTCTTAAAAAAATAATTATTCTTTAGATATATAAAATTTCATATATATATAAGTATACGTATATAAGAAAAAGCATTCATTTTCCACGTGCCAATTTACTTCAGAAAAAAATAACGGAATGAGATTTAATAACGATTAATTCTCATAATTGGTGACAAATCATGAAAATCATTCTGATTAAAAATTAAACGCGATAGTTAATAGACTCTTAAATTTATAATTTCTTTATCTTATTCATAGCAAATCACATTTACTTATGAAAATTTATGATTGTTATGTTTTGATTCGGTGAAAAATTTTTGCATTCAACAATTTCTGAATATTTTGATGATTTCTTATTTTGAACGATATTTTTTGTAAAATTTATATAATAATTTCGAAGATACTATTTGTACAATACAATACAATACAATATATATAAAATTGCTTTTAGACGAAGTGCAACATTTTAAAACGTACAATGTATAAAATGGAATGGCCATGACTTTTGAAATTGAACGCATTAAGACATAAAGAGTGAGAGTGAATAAAAATCAAAGAAAATTATTTACCTTTAAAATTACGAAATCCATGTTTCAGAAGACCGGAGCTAATGGTGAAACACGAGTTGATTATGTTTTATGATGAAAAACTGATGGCAGATTAACGTCGAAGTTAAGATTAATTAAAACGTGTTTGTTTCAGTCGCGTGTTACAGTGATACGAGAAACTCGAAGAAAGAAGTGAAAGATATCGAACGAAAGCAATTACGCTGGTAAACCTTCCACTCGACATTTCTTTCCACTTGTTCGAAACGACGAAGACTTGGCGGTCACACACGACACGAGGCGGTTAGATCGTCCTCACTCCAATGATCCAGCATCGTTGCTGCACGCCTCATTGCGGTTTCACGGCACAAAAGCGAACAGAGCGGTTACTCGTTTTGAACGCAACTTTCGCATTTACTCGTTGACAAAGAGACTCTCCGGAACTCACAACTGGACGCGAGAAAAAAAAAAGAAGAGAGGCGAGGAGAGGTAAAGCGAGACGAGACGAGACGCGGCACGACGAGGCAAGGCAAGGCAAGGCAAGGCGAGGCGAGGTGAAAGAAGGTAAACGGCGCAACCTCGGGAACACGCGAGAAAAATATTCAGCCAACACGCGTGCCGGCTCGACGTCGACTGAATACAACGCCAGTCGCGCGCTACGAGTGGGAGGTGTGTCTCGCGTGTGCGACAGAACGAGATCGAGCTATATTATCGCGACGGAGAAGGGATGAAGAAAGCGTAAGAGAGACGAAGAATAGTTTTCATCGCGTTAGATCGAGACAGGCAAAAGGATGAGCGACCGACCGTCGGAAACCATAGTCACACTGGTTGCAACTGTTAGAGGGAGTTGAACGGCTTGCAGAGGAGAGGAGTGGAGTAGAGTGGTATGGAACAGAGCGTAACGAAATGGAGTTGAGAGGAAAGGAGAGAAATGGTTTCAAGAGAAACAGACGCGACGGGATTGAACGGAACGGAATGGAATGGAATGGAACGAGATGCCTCGATTCGTGGAGACGATCGAATGACACAAAACTAAAAGAGAGTTACATTACAAATGCTGATTATCCAAAACTACCGGTTGCAACGCTTGCAATGTGATAACACAAGTGACACATTCTCTTACAATCTATTGTCATGATTCACATTTTGTATAATGATATGTTTTTATCTAAATATGTACATTTCATGCATTTTCAAATATACGCACGTAAATATAAATAAAATTTCGCAATTCTTTTTTACTTTTATGTTACTTCTAACTTTACTTTTATATAATTATTTATTATATTATATATTATAATTATATATATAATTATATATTATTACTTTTATATATTTACTTTTATATACATATAACTTTTATCAATTTATTCATTTATATAATTAAATGTTGAAAATATTATATTTTATAGTTTTGTGTACGCATTCTATATATTTTCCTTCTTTTTCATATTTCTCTAGGATCTTGTCGCATTTTAGTTAATCGCAAATTTGCACATAGTTTTCATAAACGCGATCAATCGTGAAAATAAATATGTCATAAGTGCTTGTGAAGGGTGATCAAATAGAAAATTCATAATCACGATCTTAACAAGAAAAGTTGTATAAAAAGCGACTGAAAAGTTGCCAAGCCCGCCGTCTCGTTTGTAATCCCAACTCTCCACCAACCCTTCCTCACCGCACTGCTCTCTAGAAGCACTCATAATTACCAAAGTTAATTTGCGAATCGCAATTTAATTGGCCAGTTCTTGAAGGTTCTTTAAACTTTGTCTTCTACGGAGTAAGGTATTTTTTATGAGAGACTCGATATGCTTTTCTAAAAATAATGCATTGAACGAATAATCAAATATTTCGATTTGTATGATAGAAAATAAATATAATAGCACGCGTAAAATGTACAATAAGAAAAGCTATTTTCTAAAAAAAAAAAATTTGAAAAAAATAATCATACTAAACAAATTGCGTAGATAGATGCAAATATCACGAAATTTATTATCGTGTGATTATCGAAAAATTTATATTTTTCTATTATTTTATACATGGCATGTTTATAGATATACTTATATGCAAGCATCTTCAATATATATTATGTATTATATATACATTATGTATTATATATGTATTATATATACATAGATATAGATATTCATTCGTTTTTTTTTCATTTTAATTCTTGCAAAAAACAATGTTTAGAAAAAGAATACTCTCAATTCATTATCAAGCAATCAGGAACGAATGTTCATAGATATGTGTACGAGAATATATAGTTAAAGCAGGAGTAAAGAAAAGAGAAAGATATTAGTTTCCTGAGATTTTACCGCTACCTGCTCTAGCTGAAATTAAAGAAAAAAGATTCTGCGTGACGGCGAGCCTTTTAATTAGACGGTCTGTGATCTGCCAAACATTTTTCCTTTTTCTTTTCATCCTTTCTTCTTCATTTTTTTTTTCTTTTGTGTCTTTCACATTTTCTGTTCGTCTTTTTTATTTTCACTCTTTTGATTGCTATCCGATCACGCAATTTAAATCATTTACATATTTCAAAGACAAAGAGTACTTCTTCGATGTAAAAATAAATAAAGTGAGTTTTTTTTTTCAAAATTCGATCGCGCAATCTGTGCAACGAAATTGTATCTCTTTTTTGACGAAAAGTATACGATTTGAATCTTTTTTTTTCTTCTTTTTCCTTTTCGAAAAACATCGAAATGTATCGATAATGTTGCATTTTTTTGATTGATAAATTAATAATTAAACTGGTAAATTGACTGATAAACAAAGGCACGTAATAGCATCGAAAAATATTAGTAATTCAAACATTTTATTTAAAATCTAAAGAACGTATCCTTTTCCATTGAAGTCGTACACAAATGTGTAAAGGGGAAAGAGATTGTGAGAGAAGAAGGAGAGGAAGAATCAGTGTTCATCGACGGGAATTCAGAACGTGCAAAAGCGCGAATGTATGAGCATGTTTGTAGAATGTAATATATACACACGAGGGATGATTCATACACATACCTGCTATCCGCCATCTCAATGGATGTCGGGCCAGGAGAATAAATTAACGAGGTGTTTGTCCGGATGGGATCACCGCTCTTTTTTTCAAGCCGGTTTAAAATCATACTGTCTTTAATAATTACGTCGGCCGAATACATTAAATGAGACATGCGTCGCGACGCATTTACCTCTGTCGCTTTTTGATAATGTTATTTACAGCTTTGATTTATAATAGATCATCATTGAACCTCGGCGAATTACTCTTTACATTGTATCATTTCAGAATAGAAAAGATACAAAATATAACGTGTATTGGTAAACTTTATTCGTCACATTGAAAATGAAAATGAAGGAATATTCACCGACCATGCATGAAAAAAAAAAAAAAAAGAATACGATTATATATTGATTTTTCGGATAATTGTAAAAAATAATATATAAATCATAGTTGTATAATGTTTATGTATATTAAGTATCTTAAGTATCTAATAAGTAATTGTTCAAAGGTTAAAAAAGATACATTCAAGAAATTTGTTAATAAAACGCTAATATTTAATTTAAGCATATACATTTGAATAATAATAACTGTTATGATAGTGTTCTTCTAACTTTCTCGTTCTATTAACTAGAAAGATGATAACGTATCGTTGAGATTTAATATTTTTCTTTCAAAAATAGGAACAGTTACATAACACATAATAAATTTTTATTTATATCAGATTCTAAAAAATCCATTTTTTTAATCTTTTAGGGAAATATATGTATATAAAAAATCTAAATCACTGTAATGAAAAGATTATTAGAAAATATTCGTTTAATTATGATTTACGTTAATTATATTTATAGATAAAAATTAAATAAAATGAGTTATATCATTGATACTGATATTCAAAATGATAATTAGATTAAAAAGAACAAATATATCGTTTTTTATTTATATCAAAGATTATTATATAAGATTTCTATATTTGTGCAATAATATGTTTCAACATAATAATACTTACTTAAAAGAAAGAAATGATGAATTTCCAAAATTATATTCTTTAATATTGAATAATTAAGAAATTGATACAATTTTCAAATTTTCAGGATAATCCAATAAATTGGAATAGGAAAAAAAAAACTTTAATAAAATATATATATCTAAATTATAAGTTCATAGCACTTTCAAACAGTTCCAACATTCTTTTCATTTCTTTGCTAAAAATTCAGAAAAAAGAAAAGAAAATGTTAATATGAATTACAAGAAATGAAGTGTGGAGAAATATATATGTGTAAAATTAAATATTTCGATACTTACATTTTTTCCGCTAATTTATATACAGGTCCCATTGATTTTGATAATTCTTCACATTTTGCCATTAATTGATACATCGATTTAATATTATGATCCACCGCATCGCACGTTTTACAAACTGCATCCCTATATGTTTCTAAACAACCTACCGTGAGTGCGGAAGCCTAAAAGTAATTTTAATTATAAAATATTTTAAAAATTTAATGAGAGAAAGATGAAAAAGAATAAATAGACGCAAAAGATTACACTATGCAAAATAGCTGCCAAATTTTCTGTTAATGCATCAACGGATGTAGCCACTTTTCTTGCTTCCATCTCTAATTCATTTAAAACATTATGATCAAGAAGAGGCACCTGAGGTGTTAGAGCTTGTCTATATAAACAAGGTGTAGAACTTCGAGAACCAGGAAATGATGGAGTTTCTCCTTTTTTTGTCACGGGACTGGACAATTTAATTTTGTTTTCTAAATCTTCTGCAACAAATAATACCATATCGCCATCTTGCATCACTGTTCCCTCAAGTTGCAAATATCCCATGGCTTTATGATAACTTGGAGGATCTATATCTTCATCTTCAATTGGACTAGACTCTCTATTTCTTAAGTTCAATTGATCTGGTCTAGTACCAATTCCATTCATTTTATCTAAGCTTTCTTCCAAAAACTTTTTTCCATCAATATCCGGAGAATCGATCAATGATCTTAGTTCAGAAACAGGTGGTGATGATTGTGAATCGAATGATATTTCCGAATAGGAGGCTGTCATCTCGTGTAACTGAAATGATTATAATCAATTCCCTTAATATAATCCTTTGTAATTAATTGTATTTTGCAAATACAAATACTGTTCTTACACACGATTTATTAAGTCTAACCTTACTCTGTCTTCATCATAGTCGATAGTTGTATTTTTCTCGCTACGTATTGTCGTTCCTTGTTTTGGATATGTTTCTCCTTCTTCCGATTCCATATTTAACAAACAATTAATATTTTTCACACGTTTTTACTAAATGATACGAATGTATCTTCTTTCATTTGTATCACGATGATTAAACAAAACAGATAAACACAAATTCACAATTATTGATTCGTAAGGAGAATTTTCATTAGATTTCTAATGTTGTGTATGCGCCTTAGTAAATCATGAATATATATCACATATATACTATATGTACTATATATTTATATAGTTATAAATCTTTAATTATTGAATTTTTGTTATAACTCTTACTTCAATTGTTTTTATTAACATATTAAACTAATAATTGTAGCCTAAATAGGCTAATAAACAAATAAGCTTTAAATATATATATACGTAAATAATAAATAAAAATTTTAATCTATATAACTTTTAATACATGGATATTCATTTTTTTTTAATTGATTCAATATATTTTATAATATATTTTTATATTTATAATATATTTTATTATATGTATATATATTTTTATATTTATTTTAAAAAATAATAAATTAATTAGATATTATTATTTTAAATGCATAAATTTTATAGATCAAATACATATAAATTAAAGCTCAGTCTTTAAGAAACTTTTTTTTTATTGAAATTAATTTTGTTTATTTTATTTTCTCTCGTTTAATAATAAAACTGTTACGTGAAAGTTGTACAATTTTCAAATATTATATATGTTTATATATGTTTAACTATAATAAAATCTGAAAATCTTCAAGATATAAAAGAAATATATACATACGCATATACATATTGAGTTATAAGTCTATAGTTATACTTTTCTGTGACATTATCCGTTGATACAAATTTATTGAATGTATTTTTTGGTTAGTTTTGTAACTATATATTATTTGTTGTTATTTGTAAATGATGAACTTTTATATTGTTTATTAACAAAGTAGTAAATAATTTGAAAGAGATTTAGCA